CTACGGCATGGTCATCACTCACATTTCTGGAATCCCATCAAACTTTCCCTTTTCGAACTCTACCTTTTATCACTGTCTCAAAATCCTACAACTCTAGAGCTTTTGCGAGTATGAGGTATGTAAGTGTCAAGGGCTCCTGGGTTATGAAGCACGAGGGAGAAGTTAAGCTTGCTCCTTTAGAACCCTCGTCTAAGTCTCCTGTCTCTCACCCCAGCCCTGCTGACTCTGGTCTTGATGAAAAGCTTCGTGCCATCACCACTCAACTCTCTGAAATCAAGAATATCCTCACAGCCACTCAGTCTACTGTTGGTGACATTCACGCCATCTTCAAGGAAACAGGGTCTGATGTATCAAAGATAAGAATTGCTATTCTTAAAGTTCGGGAGAATGCTGTTAAAGCTTTCAGGGAAATTCATGACAGGATGGATGGAGTGAGCATCTCAGCCAATGCCAGCTTTGAACAATTAAAAGGAAGTCATCTGCAATACCCTTACTTATTTCTTGAGTCGCTAATGGGATTATTTAAGACAATTTTTTGCTTTTTTTTTTCTATGCTGGTTGGGGCTGTTGTTTCAGCCATTGGACAATTTTTTTTCCTTTCTTTTGCTCTAGGTGTTTATGACTGAACTCTCATACTACTGCCTCATGCTATATATTGGGTGTGATTATTAGTCTGTTCCCTCTTTGCTGATGCCAAAAAGGGGGAGAAAAGGTATATATGTTGTATTTGTACAGGTACAACTGACTATGGCATAGGTAGCATCCTCTGTATAATGACGGACTAGTCAACTGCATGGATGGACTAGTCAATTGCATGAATTGATGGGGAGTGCTAGGATACTCATACAGGGAAGTCAAACTGCATACATTCAGGGGGAGTAAAATACAGGGAAGTCTCAAACTGCATACATTCAGGGGGGGTAAAATACAGGGAAGTCAACTGGTGTTTATACAAATATATTATTTTGACATCATCAAAAAGGGGGAGATTGTTAGATCTAATTTTAATAATGTCAATAATAATTTGTGCAGGAAATCAATCAGAAATGGAAATTGTGGAAAGATATCAATCAGCCAAAGTTGTGGAAAGTTGCGATGGCAAGAATCGTGTGAAAGCCTAAAAGGCGTCAATCAAGGCCTACACATTCTAGGAGCAAATCAAGGAGATTCGTTGATCTGCCGACTTTGGAAAAACCAATAATCAAGAAGAAAATCTTCGTCTTCAACGGCTGAAGAAGGAAGGCAATCAATCTTCTCTCATCAAGGAAGAGCAACGGCCAGAAACCTTATTCTTGGAATGAATCAATCTCTTTCCAAGGATCAAATCCCTTGGGTTGCTGAAATCACGTCTACTCAAAGTATTCACCAAAGTATTTATACTCAGTTTTCAGCCTTAGATAGATATACTTTGATCAAACCAAAATTCTCTCTTTATTCTACTACAAACAAACATTGTGGTTCATTGAGATCTGCTGTGTAATAAGTTAGAGAAAAATAGGAGAGTATAACACTGGTGAGGCATTGTATCAAAAGAAGACGAGTGTAATAGGAACTGAGCTATCACATCATTTCTATTGTACTCGAAGAAACGCAATTAGTAAAGAGAACTCCCTTGCAACCCAAGGGGACTGGACTAGGATTCACATTGAATCCAAACCAGTATAAAATTCCGGTGTCTTTAGATTTCTGCACTTACTTTCTGTATTTTATATTCTGCCATTACAACTGTTATTTTATAGCATCAAGTCGACTAATTGGTAAATCAGTCAACTAATAGAGTCTAAGTTTAAAAATTATACAATTCACCCCCTCTTGTACTTTCACCTAACACCTTCCCCTCGAGGTTACTTCGAGCCCTTACCCTAATCTCTGGTAATGCAAACCAACCCAAGAGTTAATTACTCTAGGTGCCCTAACGCACCTTAAATCGTTAGGTGGCGACTCTTCAAATACCCAATTCCCAAAAGGAAATGAGTCATTACACCCCGTGAATGTCGAAACTCGGACTTCTCCTCGCGGAGGAAAAAGGGGGCGCGACAGATGTCTTTCTCTATTAGGTCGGGATCCTGCTAGATCTCTTCTGTTGTCGTTTCTTCGTGTCTTTCCTAGACTCTATTTGGACCGAGTTTAGACGTTGGGTAGGTCCGTTGAGATCATCCTCGTCGGCTCATAACTCGGCACAGTAGGCGTTATGTATCTCGTCCCAAGTGGTTGGAGGGTATTTCATGAGTCGGCTTAGCAACTTTTTGGTCACCCGCGACCCACTTCTGCTCAGCCAATTCTGGAAAGCGGCCACCGCTATTCCTTCAGATACATTTGGAAGGTTCATTCTTACACGATTAAACCGAACGAGGAAGTCCTTGAGCCCTTCGCCAGGCGATTGCTTAATGGCGAATATGTCGTTCACCCACAGCTCTGGTTTTTTGGCCCCGGCATAGACGGTAACAAACTTGTCTGCCATTTCCTCGAACGTTTTTATGGAGCGCGCGGGTAACTGTGAGTACCAAGTTAGGGCTCCGCCGGTCAGGGTTTCTGCAAACTTCTTCAGCAGTATGGATGATACTTGTTCTTTTACGAGGTCGTTACCTTTCACCGCAGTGACATAGTGGGTCACATGATCCTCCGGGTCCGTCGTGCCGTCATATATTTTCAAGTATGGTGGCATTTTGAAGGTTTTTGGTATAGTGTGTGGTGCAGCCTCGTCGCCATATGGTTTCTCGACAAATCGACCGGCGTCTTTTTTGGCAGAAGTTTTGGGGCACCTGGTATTTTATCTACCCTTTCTTGGTGCTCTTTCATTTGGTTGCGGAGCATTTTGTTCTCGTTCTCCATCTCCTCCATTTTCCTCAAAATGGCTGTGAGGGTGTCATTACCTACATCACTAACATTGTGAGTAATACCTGGTGCAGGGGGAGTGTGTTGCTCGTCAGCTGCTGATTCGAAACCAGCTCATGTTTCTTCCCTATTCGACCTCCGAGTGGCTTGTCGAGGAAGCCTGTTAGCGTATTTGTCAATCATGCCTCAAGTAACTTTTTCACTGCTGGTGGTGCTTCTTCTGTCGTGGACGTAGAGGCACCCTTTCCGTGCGAGGTCGTAACGCTGTCGGGAGGTGGAGGTGAGCTGTTTCGCCTGGGAGAGGTGTTTGGTGTTACGTCCAGCACCTCCGTTTCGTCTACCTCGTTAATGGTGTTGAGGAGATTGGCGGTGAGATCGGCTATCGCCTTTCTCTTTTCCTATCCATTGCCTGCCTTGTCAGATTTGTGCAACCAAAGATATACGAGACTTTGCAAAGTTTTGTGCATTTTTTTTAGATCTAGAAGAAACTAAAATTTTAACTAGAAAATCCCCACAGACGGCGCCGAATTGTTTGACCAAAAACTGTTAAACTTTTTTGTTAAACTAATTAAATAAATGATAATGGGTAAATTCTAGTTAAATATAATAAATTCTAGATCCAAGATTAATGGATAGCAATAATCTAAAAACCGCATTCAAAGCTATTAAATACCAAAAGGGTGTTTAATGATATTGTTATGAGTGAATGAGGGGATAATTAAGGGCAAGCAATAAATATGGTAAATGACAATAACCGTAAATGGAGAGAATGATTCAACCAAATGTTCAATGAGGTGGATGATTCTCCCTCTCACAGTGATGTAAGATAACCAAACGTGGGAGTATAGGAAACTTTATCGGATCTGATGTGAGAAAGTTCCGGACAAACAATAAATTGAATCTTGTATAACGATAATGTTTGTAGTTACTTGAAAGTCAACTTTTCTAGAGAGAGCTTATCGAAATAGAATATTACATGCCCCATTCTTTCTCTCTCTATATGGGACATGCCAAATGCATTTGTGTCGAAAGTACAAATGCATAGAATATTCTTCAGAATATTCCTTTAAAATATCTTATTGCTAAACTAGCCGTTTTGTCCGAACTGAGTGCTCGACCTCGACTTTAGCTGCTCCGCTCGCCAATGTTGCTTCTTAAGCACGACCTCGGCCTAATTGATTCTTGATTGCCCTATTTCAGGCGTGGTCCCCTTGATCAGATTTTGACCCATAGAAGGAGTTGTATTTTCTTTATTATTCTGCTGGGATAATGGAGAACCAGTACAAGGCGATTTCGCCTATACATACATATACAATTGTTATTTTTCCCGGCACAAAATTTTGTTTATTTAATGAATTTTTTAGAGTTTGAGATGTCAACATCTTATTATTTTTTTTCGTGAAATAGATAAATATTATATTTTATTTTTGCTTAATGGCCCTGTTTTTCTTTTAAGGGCTCGTTTGGTACGAGAGATATATGATAATTAATTTCCAGATTAAATTTGAGACGAGTTTATCCCCCGTTTAGTTTGGGACAAAATCTTGGTATAACTAATTCCGGGATTAGTTATCCGGGATTGTAGTATTTTTTTTATCTCTATGGAAGGGTGGAATAACTAATCCCAGGATAATTAATCATGAGATAACTTGTTTCTCAACCAACCACGGGGATAAGAAATAATTAATTCTGGAATTAAATTGAGATGAGTTTATCCCATGTTTGATTGGGATAAAATCGTACTATAATTAATTCCGAATTTATAGTATTTTTTTATCCTTATGGATGGATGAATAACTTATCCCGAAATAATTATCATGTATAACTTATTTCCCAGCCAAACTATCCTTTAATAAGCACGCGAATGTGGTCTGTCATTATCTATGTCGAGTAAAAAGAATGTGATGGAGAAGAAAGCATAAAGCTATTATAGTTGATTAATTTCCTCCTTCCTCACCACCCCTGCCCCTAGCCTATGATTAAATTCTACGTATAAAGATTTCTTTAGAATATAGTGCGCTACTTTTCAAAAGAGGAGAACATTACATTTACAATGAACACGCATACCTTTGCGATGCTACTTTTTATGATTTGTTTAACATGTTTCTTTTTTATTTTTCCCTTGATATATAAAGCACATTGAGAAAGATTATGGACGCTTAAAATAAGAGAATAAGTATTCCTGGTAAATCAAAAGCTCAAGGAGGATTACATGAGAAACAACATCGCTTTGATCACTTCGAACAAACACCAAAACGACCACATTAACTAAGTAGAGTAGGCAGAATCACCTTAAGCCAAACTGCAAAATATTAAACTTAGTACACATATATATCTTTTTCTGGAACAAGAAGGCGGACTAGCAGCATCTATTTGAGCTCAACATTCCAGCAGTCAGCCGCGGACAATTGTTATTCTCCAATAATTCCCAGCATAAATATTGGATTTTTCTCAATAATAAGAGTAGTAGTAAGAAGTTCGTTCGTTTGGACTATAGTTTGAGGAAGACAAATTCTTCAATTGCAGATACCTCTCCTATCTTCTTCTGAGTATCCTTGTTTGGTTCTTCGTCTACTCCAATTGCCATAATTGCCTGCTTTCTCTTCACGGTTCTTCCAACGCTCATAAAGCTCACATTCACGTTACTCTCACCAAGTATGTTTCCAACTTGCCCGATCATACCAGGTTGGTCCACTTGTTTGCAAAGGATGAGGTTACCCTCCAAGCTCACATCAACACTAAATGATCCAACGCGTGTAAGATGGGGAACCCCATACTTCACTTTCCCCTCGATGCTGATATTCCCATTCTCTGATAAAGCACTTGCAAATCTTGATTGCACGTTGCTAATTTGAACCTGGATGGACTCAACAGGGTACTCTGGAGACGAATCAACAATAACACGTTCTTCACTAATACGAATACCCTTCTGCTTTGCGCTGAAATCAGCATTTACAAGGTTGATGATTGTATCGGATATTGGCTCAATAATGCCTTTTGTTACCATGGCTCGGAGAAGTCTAGTGTCCAAGCTGTCAGGGTCCCTGGCTGATTTATAGACCACTTTCACATTCTGAATTCCACTTCCACCAGTCACTAGCTGTACAGCCAGTCTACCTAGTTTCTCAGCAAGCACGACATAAGGAGCCAACTCGGACAATACCTGATCACAGAAGCAGGAATTTCATAATCCTTGCTATTGGCTGACTCAAAAGAGAAACATATAGGCACATAATATTATAGTTTACCTCAGGAGGGACCATTGGAGCATTCACAGCGGTAGCAGAAAGTTCCCCATTTAGAGCACCAACAACAGCCTCAGCTATTTCAATCGCAACTCCTTCCTAAGAAAATAGATTTTGAACACATAACTCAAGGAGCAGGAAACAATATATACTCAAACAAAGTCAATATGACAAGCAGGTGCAAATAATTTGTGTGCGAGTGTCAATTGTACCTGTGCTTCTTTTGTGCTTGCTCCAAGATGAGGTGTAACTGTGACATTCTCATGTTGCACTAGTTTGCTATCTTTTGGTGGTGGCTCCACCGTGAATACATCAAGTGCTGCCTGTGAAAGAAAGCGATGACATGTTAATATTTCGAGCTTCAAAGTTAATTGAATAAAGGAACAGAACTAAGTTAGCATACCTGAGCAACTATTCCACTGTCAAGGGCTCTAACTAATGCATCTTCATCAATAACACCCCCTCGAGCAACATTTATAAGGCGAACTCCTTTCTTCATCTTTGCGAATGTGTCATCATTGAATACCTTCTTAGTAGCAGGTGTAAGAGGCATGTGGAGTGAGACGAAGTCAGCAGTGGCTATGGCCTGCTCAAAGGAAACCAAATCCACACCAATAGCGCGAGCTCTGTCAGCTGGTGCATAAGGATCATGGGCAATGACATGCATACCCAGGCCTTTTGCACGTCTTGCAACCTCGGAACCAACTTTACCAAAGCCCATAACTGCTAATGTCTTCCCAACAAGAGAAACACCCACGTACTTGCTGCGCAGCCATTTGCCTGTAAATTAATTGGTTATTTCATAATTGTATATTGTTTCACATGACACCATGAATCAGAGTGCAGATCTAGTTACTCAGCCGATTAAAGAATACAAACCTGTCATATTCTTGGACTATTCATTCCTAGAAACCAACAGATCTGTTTTCAAAAATCCACCCCCACCCCCAAAACCAACCAACCACCACACAAAAAATAAAGAAGAAAGAAACTTGTCCCTGACATGATTGTCTAAATTTGTCATTATCCTTTAACTAGTCAAGCTAAACTTGAAAAATTGAAGCTTCAGAATACATTTGTGTGAAGTTGAAAAGAGAAGGAATACCTTCAAAGTTTGTCTTTTTCCTGTTTAAGTAATTTTTCAAGAATAAAAAATTAGCATATAAATCTTAGAGTACTATTTTTGATTCGTAAACCTTAAGAAGATGGTTTGTACTAACAAGACTACCATCTAATGAAAGAAGTAATGATCTAATCTTTAAGTTAACAATAAAACTTCATTACCTAACCTTAAACTCTACCTGCCCACCAAATGCTTCATTTTCTTTTTTATATGTAATCATATTATTAAATTAATATAGATCCAACAATTCACTCAAATCAAAGTTCCAACAAATCAAATAAATTTACGTCAGAAACGACAAGACAAAAAAATACCTACCGGGATGCACAAGCCATGATTTTTTTTATTTCTTTTTTACTTGTAAATGAAGACTGGAAGCTGTCCTTGTCCTAGTTCGTAATTTAGATACTGAGAATTTAGCAAATACTTCTTATTTTCAGATCTATGCAATAAATCATCAAAAACAGCAGTAGCATTATATATTATATTAGAAGAAGTATTATAAAAAAAAGGTACCAGCTTTCATGGAGGCATCAGCCTGAGCAACGTTACGGGCCATGGAGGTGAGCAAAGCGATTCCATGCTCCGCGGCAGCAATAGTATTAGCTGTGGGCGCATTAACGACGAGGCATCCAAATTCAGTAGCAGCTTGCAGATCCACATTGTCTATCCCAACACCAGCTCTTCCGACGACTTTAAGACGGCCCTGTGCAGCCTCAAAGACTTGTCGAGTTACCTTAGTCCCACTCCGTACAATAAGCGCGTCGCACAGAGAGATCTTAGCGCAGAGATCCTGAGGAGACAAGTCATACGAACAATCCACGTTGCCGAAACTACGGAGCAGGTCCAAACCCGCCTCTCCAAGTTTCTCGGAGACGAGAATGGTTGGCTTGGGAATCGAAACAACGCCGTCCAGATCTCTCGCGTTGGAGAATGAGATGTCGGCAGATTCAACAGTTTTGAGAACATTACAAATGGTAGAAGAAGAATTTGATGGAGAAAACGAAGCAGAAACAGAGTGGAAAAGCTTGAGGGAAGAGGAATTTGAGGAGGCGTGGAGGAAAGAGAGATTTGAAGGCTTATTATGATTTACAGAGGAAGAAGAAGAAGAGAGGAGAGAATTTTGAAGGGTGGTGGCGGCAGTGCGAGGAGAAGGAGTGGACGCCATTATTATGGAGAAAGAAAACTCAAAAAACTCAAAAGTTGTTGGAGGTTTGAGGTTATGGACACTAATGAAATAAAAGACGTTTTGTTTATATAGAATGGAGAATGATCATTGACGGATGAAAATAGCATCTCCGTATTTGGTGGGTATATATACTAATTTTGTTTTTCTAATTTGGACCAACTACTTACCGCTCTTGACCTTTTTGACAAACTTCCTAATTACTAGGATAACTTTTTACTAAAGATAAACATCCTAAACTATTGTATCCTTTCTCCTCTTCTTCTTCCTTCTTTTATGGAAAAAGGGTAAAAATATCTTTTACTGTGCCAAAATGTTTAAGTTTATCCTCTGTATAATTTGGTTCATACATACTCCTTAATAAAATGTCTTATTTTTTGGCGTTTGAGTCTTAATGGAGCTCTTAGGAATTGGATTTAAACAGTGTTCGAATAATCTCCAGTTGATTACTATCCACGAAAATCAACACTTGATTTGATGATTGTTGCGACCAAACACACTCACGCAAGTATACGTGGTCGTCAAGTAATAGAGTAGTGGGTAAAGTATCGTTCTCACGGAGACTTATGATTAACTTTTAACTAATTCAAACTCAAACAACTTATCGATTCAAGAGATTTCTCACAAAATATGTAAGTGATTAATTTACTACCTAAGAAACTATCAAGCAATGAAATAACTAGAGATCAACCACAACACTTAGGCAATTTCAGATAAAAATTAGTAGGAGAGGATATTCCAGGGTCATAGGCTAGCTAACAATCTTGTTGTGTTCTTTGGTTAAACTGACTAATTCATTTATCTGGATTGTTGATTGACAGGGTTAATATTACTCATAAGAATCTGTCGAGTTCTTACTCGCCTACTCAAGGTAACTTAATACCTATATGTCTATTGCATTAAGACTAACAAGAACGCATTTGCACTTCCTGTATTTCAACCAAGCAAGACAATTAGGTATATATCTATCCTAATTGCGAATCCGTTTACCGATGCCCGGGATCAAGAACTTGCTCTATTTAATCCTATATGCAATCTAGAATTTCCACTTTCGAGTTCAACTCTAGATTCGTAAGTAGTATTTCTTTGTTAGCTACTTAGCAAAATAATTAAGAACGGAATTAAATAAACAACCCAATATGATAAAATCAAACTCGTCAATTTAAACTTCAAACGTCAACATTCATGTAGCACCCATGACCCAAGAATAATAGGGTTCTTAGCCACTCATGTTCATACAATCATCAAAATAATATTTTCTAAACATAAAATACAATGAACACTAGAAGAAGAAGAATAGAAGAATTGATCAAATACCGTGCTCCCGACGTGTTTCTATACTTTTGTTCCTCTCTCAAGTAGCATTCTCTTCCCAAACTAGTTAGGTTTAGGCGTTTTATATGAGT